GCAGTTATCTCTCTTTGCCAATGCATTCTTATATAAAGTTAAGGAATCTACCCCACCACCCAGCTCCAAACCAAGGGACATAGAGAAACAAACTTAGCATCAAAATATGTCTTTCTGCCTATTGAACTACCATACCAAATTTGATCTTAATTGGGCAACCATTAAAAAAGTTATTAGGAGCAAGAGGCCCATGGGCCACATCGCTCACCTGAGCACTAAGGGTAGGAAAAAGTAGAAAATGGCTTTTTATTGTAAAGTTTAAATCCAAAAGTAGTCCCATGACCAATCATGGATTTGCATTTTTTTAGAAAATTATATTTAAAGAAGTTTCCTATATATATCTAAGTAAAACTTTGGTCAGCCATTTTCCGCTCTACCCCTGGGGGTCATGATTTGAACAAATTTGAATCTAAAATACTTGAGCATGCTTCCATATAAATATGATGAATTATGGCTTTGTCATTCTTGAGAAGAAGATTTTTATAGAATTTTCCTATATATTTCTATGTTAAACTTTGGTCGTCCATTTTGGCCCCGCCCTACCCCGGGGGTCATGATTTGAACAAACTTGAATCTACACTACCTGAACATGCTTCCATATAAATATGATGAACTATGGCTTTGTCATTCTTGGGCAGAAGATTTTTAAATAATTTTCCTTATTATTTCTATGTAAAACTTTGGTTGGCCATTTTGGCCCCGCCCTACCCCCAGGGGTCATGATTTGAAAAAACTTGAATCTACACTACCTGAGGATGTTTCCCCATAGGTTTCATCCATCCTGGCACAGTGTTTCTTAAGAAGAAGATTTTTAAAATATGCCACCAAATTTTCATTAATTCCCAATTATCTCCCCTTGAATGAGGGTGTGGCCCTTCATTTGAACAAACTTGAATCCTCTTCACCCAAGGATACTTTGTGGCAAGTTTGGTTGAAATTGGGATAGTGGTTCTTGAGAAGAAGTCGAAAATGTGAAAAGTTTACAGACAGACGGACAGCTAGACGGACGGACGGACGCCGGACAAAATTTGATCAGAAAAGCTCACTTGAGCCTTTGGCTCAGGTGAGCTAAAAAACAGAAAATTTGTGGATGGAAGAGTGACAGACGGACAGACAGAGTGATTACTATAGGGCACCCGCAAATCCTTGCGGGGCCCTAATTAAATAAATCATTACAACTTGAAATAAAATAAACAATTAGTAAAACTTTAGATCCACCCATGCTACTTCTAGTACACCTGTGTAAGGGTACATGATCATTAATACAATTTTATTGGTCTAAAATTTACCTCCAAATTCTGGACAACAGACAAAGACACTTTTCAGCTGACAATGCATGAGGCTACATGCCAAATGAATGTGAATTATTCTTAATTTAAAGATATTTGACTGTTTCAAAGAAACTGTAAGTATCATTATTTACTTTTTAAAATACATAACTTACAATCAAATACATTAATATTCATAATTTCTAAATTCTGAAATTAATAAACTGAACGAGATTTTTGGAGTGAGAGATTAAATTTATATTGCAGAGTCCAGATTTTTTTTACTTACTGTTTATAAATACTCTGCTGCATATTAAAGAAGATAGGAGTCAGCTTTGTTCCACAAATAGGTACCAATTTATATATTTTTGCAATACAGGTTTACTATTTTATTCTGAGAAAGTTCTGTAAATGTGATATTTAATAATAATTTCTATTCATTATACTGTCAACATAAAGAATCTATTGTCTACATGCATGTTTAATATCAGTTATACATGTATTTCATAGTATTTTATAACAAGAGGCCCATGGGCCACATCGCTCACCTGAGAAGCTTTGACCATTTTGTTCTTTACCAGTTTTCTCCCTTGTTATACATAATGCATCCCCACCCTACCCCACTGATCATAATTTAGACATTTTGAAACCTACACTACCCCATGATCCTTCCATGGGCACATATGTTTCAGCTTTTTTGGCCAAGTGGTTCCTGAGAAGAAGATTTTCAAAGATTTTTCCTATATATTTCTATGTAAAACTTTGATTCCCTATATATAATGGCCGCCCTTCCCCAGGGGGTCATGATTCCTACAATTTAGAATATACACTACCCCAGGATGCTTCCACATAAGCTTCACTTTTTCTGGCCCAGTGGTTCTTGAGAAGAAGATTTTCAAAGATTTTTCATATATATTTCTATATTAAACTTTGATTCCCCATTGTGGCCCCGCCCTTCCCCCTGGGGTCATGATTTGAACAATTTAGAATCAACACTAGAAAACTGACCAGTCAGCAAGGGCCCCGCCATGGGGTAGAATTAAAAGGGTGCAGCTTACAGAATGATTAAAAAATGTTCGAAGAATAAGCAACAGCAACTGTATTCTTAAAATTTCAAGATAATTCCTGAATATTCAAAAACCTGAAAATAATATCCTTGTATTTACATTAGGCAGTAAATAACAACTTAACATTGAATGTATATTTAAACAATTATGAAGCTTGTGTTATATAAAATGCCAGTCTTCAATGAATGCAAATATCATGAAGGCTTGACCTTAACTTCAAACAAACAGCAGTTGCAGACAAAGGTTTTAATTAATCTTAAAGTGACAGATAAAGAAAAGCCTACTAAATTTTCTGCAGCAGGCTAGATAATTAATCCCAAAGGATTAATTGTACCTCTCTCATCATTTTCTTCTAAATTTAAAATAAGAACTTTTTCAGTATTAATGATAGAATGGGGTTTTTATACAACTACATTAAAAATTAATAATATTCTTGAATTAATATATTAAAAAAAATGAAAAAAAGTGAAATAAAAAGTAAATCAAATAAACTTCTTTAATCTATTTCTTTTTTTTAGAATTCAATGAAATCATAACTATCAAACAAAAATAAATCATAAAAATTTATATTTAAATCCACATTACAGAGTGTTCATAGCATTCCAAATTGATTTAACTTCAAAACAAACTTCATTTGCAGACAGAGGTGGTAATTTAAATCTCAATGTGACAGATAAAGATAATGCTCTGGATTTTCTTCAGGAGGAAAGCTTATTAATCCCAAGGGACTCCTAGCAGCATTCAGTTTACAATGAGAACATCTTCAGCAATTATCTCTCTTTGCCAATGCATTCTTATATAAAGTTAAGGAATCTACCCCACCACCCCAGCTCCAAACCAGGGGACATAGAGAGCCAATCTTAGCATCAAAATGTGTATTTCTGCCTAATGAACTACCATACCAAATTTGTACTTGATTGGGCAACCATAAAAAAAGTTGCCCGTTCATTCTTATGCATAGTTAAGGAATCTACCCCACCACCCCAGCTCCAAACCAGAAGACATAGCGAACCAAACTTAGCATTGAAATATGTATTTCTGCCTACTGAACTACCATACCAAATTTGAACTTGATTGGGCAACCATAAAAAAAGTTATTAGAAAAAAACAGAAAATTTGTGGACGGAAGAGTGACAGACGGACAGACAGACAGACGGACAGACAGAGTGACTACTATAGGGCACCCGCAAATCCTTGCGGGGCCATAATTATACCAGGATGCCTCCACATAAGTTTCAGCTTGTCTGGCCCAGTGGTTCTTGAGAAGAAGATTTTCAAAGATTTTTCCTATATATTTCTATGTAAAACTTTGATTCCCAATTGTGGCCCCGCCCTTCCCCCGGGTGTCATGATGTGAACAATTTAGAATCTACACTATACCAGGATGCTTCCACATAAGTTTCAGCTTTTCTGGCCCAGTGGTTCTTGAGAAGAAGATTTTCAAAGATTTTTCCTATATATTTATATATAAAACTTTGATTCCCCATTGTGGCCCCGCCCTTCCCCCTGGGGTCATGATTTGAACAATTTAGAATATACACTACCCCAGGATGCTTCCACATACGTTTCAGCTTAACTGGCCCAGTGGTTCTTGAGAAGAAGATTTTTTAATGACCCAACCCTATTTTTGTCTTTTCTTGATTATCTCCCCTTGCGAGGGGATATGTCCCTTCATTTTAAGAATTTAAATTCCCCTTCACCAAATGATGCTTTGTACCAAGTTTGGTCAAAATTGGCCCAGTGGTTCTTGAAAAAAAGTCGAAAATGTAAAAAAGACAGACAGACAGACGGACGGACGGACGACGGACAAAATGTGATCAGAAAAGCTCACTTGAGCCTTCGGCTCAGGTGAGCTAAAAACTCTGGTTCAAGGGGAATAACTTGTGAATTCCTCAAATGCTATGTATTGATGTTTCATGAGTTGTTATAATGTGAAATTACTATTGTTATATATTGTGATTGAATATGTATTGTATTTTCACGGCTATAATTTCATAATATGATGACTCCCTGAATAAACCAATGTAAATGAACCCGCAGGTGTTTTGTATGTCAACAACCCCTGTTACAGAAGAGATTGTACAGTAATTTCCAAAGATTTTAGGAAAATTAGTCTCAATTTTGGCAACATTAGAGGAAGTTGTGTAATTGTCTAATTGACCTCTGAAATGTTATGTCTGTTGAGTCAATTAAAAGAAGTACATAAAGTTACAACTTTCTCAGCCTTACATCATCTTAAATCAGCAACAACCTCAAAATATTGATGCTTAATTGGCAAATCTGATAGGCATTCTATTTTTTAAGATTTAACTCAAATGGGTTATATATCTGTTTAGTAGTAAATAAGGAAAGTAAACCTAAACAAATTTTTTTTTCTTTAAAAACTTGTTTCCCTCATGCCCCTGACTGATAATACTTTTCTTTGAACCTGATATTCAGTAACCACATAAACTGATAATTAAATAATGTGAACTTTAATACCTAGAAGGATGGGCGACAACTACCTTACTATCGCATAAGCTCTTCTGATCTTCGACCAGTAGAGCTAATGAAGGAAAGAACAAATGAATGGTCAAGGAAAACAAGCTGTTTTTATCGATATATAGATGAAGTGTGACACTTAAAATTGCAAACAATATAAGCTGGACTAAAATTCATTAAATACCTGCAAGAATTTGTGTGGCAGGAGCACACACTTCCACAGTAAGATTTCCCCAAGGATTAATAACACAGTGGTACTCTAACCTCCCTAAACAAGTACTTTTAATGGCTGAGCAGTTCTTCCTGTTTGCAGCTTCCATTACTCCTGCATAATTCTTTGGACAATTGTCTACTACTGTTCTTGTGAGTTTTGAAGCTTCACAAAACTCTGTATCTTTAATCGATCCTTGACTAACATGTGTAGCCTCGCTCTGTAAAGTAACAATTCATGTAAACAAAAGTACAAGGCTCATCAATTTTAGAATTGCAGACCTGTTTACCCATACCTTTGTCTTTCTGTATTTTTTATAAGATTTGTCCTTGAGATTTTGCATTTGCCGGTAAGATTTCACTTTCCATCGAATTAACATATCTTAAAAGATAACAACCGCTTTTCTGATTACAAAAACATGGTTTACCAACATGGTCTATGTCATTTTATAATACCGTATAAGTCGAATTTTTAGCGAGGATTTAATTTTGCCATTATTAGCGAGTGTTCTGATGTCACTAAATATCGCTAAAAATTAATTGCGTTTTATTTGTAATAGCTTCTTTAATGTGCATTTTAAAATCGCTAAAATAAACCCTTGCCAAAAATAAATTACCAGTTTTTAATGACAAATCGCTAAATTTGCGTCTCGCTAAAATTTCCACTTATACGGTACCACATAGTTATGGCAACCCGACATCATTTACAGTATATGTTTAATTCTTTCTCTTAATTAGCAATTAAAAATAAAAAGTGTTAAACTAAGACAGATTATAACAAAAACTAACTGCTAAACTCCAAACAAACGTATTTCCGATTTTGTATTTTTAATTCATGATTGTAAAACATGAGACTTATTCTAAACTAAAAATCCGTACAAAATACAGCGAAATCATAAGAGTAAACAGGTCTGGAATTGGTATTTTTAACCTGTAAATAGATTGAAATGACATTTGCCTTTTAACACATTGTATTTAAATGTGAGTATAGTGGAGCCTCGTTTATCCGGATGCCTTGGTTTCTTGCCAATTTGTCCAAAAATGTGAAGCAACCGGATTAACCTGAATCAACAGTTAAACAAGACAAAATAACATAAAAAAATTCTGTTCCCATGAATAATTGTCCAGATACTGAAGCGTCATATCTGAAGGTCCACTGTTACATTATTACTGTAATAAGAGGGTTGTCCGGTAAAATCAAGGACAAAGTGTTTTGCTTGAAAAGTAATCAGCGCACTTAGCTGAAATTTTCAGTAAACATGGTAAATGTTTATCTATCATATTTAAGTGCATCATAATTTTTTTTGATAATATCTACATGATATAGCTGCAGAACTGTAGCTCTCTGCTTGAGAAAATTCGGACAGATAAAGCAGAGAGCTACAGATCCAAGCGTTGTAAAAACCTTCGATTTACGCCGACGATTTTTTGTCGCTCATTATGGGTATTTTTTCGTGTATTTTATACTTTCCCCAGTTTTAAAAATAATTTTAAATGGTATTTAATAATTAATCGTACATTCAACTTCAATTCCTGATCATTTACTTACCTCTCAACGCTAACAAATGGCTGTTTGTGGTTACGGACGTCGAAATGGAACTCTTTTAAACTGACATTACAAAACTGTATACAGGACTCTTTCGGACCGTTAAAAGGTTAACAAAGTATCAAGTATACGAGTTAAATATATGAATTATTTATAGGTTACCATTCTTAAAGCCATAGAAAGCTTAAACTACACGAAATAAATACCTAAAGTAGCGACAAAAAATCGTCGGCGTAAATCGAAGGTTTTTACAACGCTTGGAACTGTAGCTCTCTGCTTTATCTGTCCGAATTTTCTCAAGCAGAGAGATACAGTTCTGCAGCTATACATGATATAGACAAAAATAAAGATTTTATTATGCTGGAATATTAACAGGGTACAGTCCTACGGCGCATTGCCATGGTAAAAAAATCAAGATTATATCAAAGAATACATAGGTAATAATTCTGAATAAAATTTTAAAAAATATAAAAATTTGGATAAAAATTAGCCTGATTCGATTCCACAATCAATTTTTTCATCTTTTTAAAGATTTCAAGGTATTTTATTAATTGTTGGCAGTTTCCAGAGCATTCAAAATGGAAAAGTGGTATACACAACACACGAAAATAGTAACGTTTGATGACGTTATGGCGCATCAGAGAGCAATTCAGTTTGATTATATGCTAATTTTTAAAGCTGAACATGACTTGTTAATAGGCATACGCCATTTCTGATATCATTATCCACAATACTTAAATACTAATTCAACAAGAGGCCCAAGGGCCACATCGCTCACCTGAGCTCTGGCAATGTAAAACTAAAAGCAACCAGAAGTCTCTGTCGAGACTGAAGCTCTACTGATTTGTACTTATAACAAAGGAAGAGAAAAGTACTTAAGCAGTTGGGAATTGAAACTTTTCAACAGCAATAAATAGAATAATGATCCTTGATTAAGTCTCTTTATGTCCTTAGTGTAGTCTACTTGCATGCCATTATATTATAATCAGAGTAAAACTGTATTTCGAGTAGCATTTTGAGAGTAATTAACAGAAATTTCTATTTTTAGTAACCGTGGCAACATCGTTCATAAAAGTGAAAAACTGATACACAGAATTATGTACCTAAGTGTAGTCTATTTGTGTGCCAAGTTATATTGAAATCAGACCAAAACTTTAGGAGGTCTAGCATTTTGAAAGAATTTCACAGAAATTTCTATTTTCAGTAAGGCCAAAAAAAATAATAGTCTTGTTTCCTGCTACCAGCCTAAAAAAAATAGGGTAGGTAGGTAGGAAAATTATTTTATTTTTTTATTTATTTTTTTTTTTTTTCCGACGGCATTTTTTGGATATGAACTGAATACATGATCAAATTAAACATATCACAAGTCACTCAATATAATCTTTTACAATTAAATTTTATATCTTGATGCACAACTCAAGTGGTATTTTATAATATACAGTACACTGTGTAGAAAGCTCTTTTAGTTTTCTCAGAATTTTTTTTCAGTTATGGAACATGAAGGTATTTGTCAAGTAGATAATCAAACAATCATTCAGGGTTCGACACTAACGGTAGCCCGCTGGCCCGGGACAACTGAATATTGAGGTCGGGCTACTAAACATGCCTTTAAACTTGCCCTGCAGGGCTACTACTAAAAGAAGTTTACCAAATACTCACTCAGAGCAACAAAATTAATCATCAATTAAACACAAAGTACCTAATAATTATTAAAAATATTTTAAACATGTTTTATCATCGTAATTATTATTTTTGTATGTCAAAATGTAAACTTTAAAGGTGATTCGAAATACCCTAAATGATTATAAATGTAGACTTTTTCAACAGTTAAAAGTCTTAGGTACAATCATAAAGTGACATATAATTTTCAGGCACGTAGCATCGTTTTTGAAAGTGGGGGGGGGGGGGGCCAACCTGAGAAATTTTTTTTTACTTACCTGAAAAAGTTGACAAGCAAAAAAAAAAAAAAAAAAAAAAAAAGCGCGAAACTTTAAAAGCTGCCCAAACTGGAAAATCCTATTTCGTGGGGGTGGGGGGTGGGGGGAGTAGTTGCCAACTTTTTCAAAGCAAACTTACTATCACTTCCAATTTTTTCCTTACAATCCTTGCTATCACTATACTATGGTTATAAGTGGGGGGGGGGGGGGGGGGGGGGGGGGTAATCATCCTATCAATGAACATTTACTATAGTAAAGGTTATGTTGGGGAAAAAAGTGGGGGGGGGGGCCAGGCCCCTCTGATACTATGTCCCTGATTTTTACCCAAAATACAGCAAGAATGCCGGATTTTGCATCTCTATTTTAAAAATTTCCCGGGGGAGACCCCCTGTACCCCCACCGGCAGGAGGGGGAAACCCCCTCCTGCACCTACCCCCCTTGTCGCTTCGCGACTCCGCCACCAGCCTTCGGCTGCTGGACAACTAATACATGAACAGGGCTAGTTGAAATTAGAAATGGCTAGCCCTGCTGACAACTATGGTTTTAAAGTTAGTGTCGATCCCTGTCATTCCTTTAAAAACTCAGTGATTAGGACCATATGTGTTACAGAAACCATGAACTTTGTTAGATTACACTGTACATGTATTTGATTTCTGAGCAGGTTAATTTTATCGTTGTTAACTATTTGAAATCTAAAACAAAAAAAAAAAAACAAACAAACAAAGATGATGAATCTGAATACATGTACATTTGTAATTTAAGTGAAATATTTTACTGAACAGGAACTAAATCAAGAACAAATGTTTATTGAAATTTCTTTTTTAAAAAGTGGAAAATAGTATTTTGTTTACATTAAACAATATAGGACTATTGAAACAGAATGGGAATTAATTTTTTTAATAAAGTCCATGCAATGGGTATTTTACTGATATTAGTCCCACCTTTCATTTAATATATGTATGTATTTATTTCTTAAAATTAGTTTTAGTTAGTTAAAATTGCAACTAGTTGTAAAAGTAATTATCCAGAAGTTAGACATGTATTTATGGTGATAATTGCGTTTAAAGATTGACTAGACTAATTATGTTTTCCTTTACTTTAAGAGTGCAACGATAAACCATTTGTCGGTATACCGCGATTTATTTTTCCACGGTTCGGTTCATGATACATGAAACATACCATGGTTCGGTTCAATCGGTCCGTAATTACAGTCCCTGAAACGTTCTACTTTCCCACCTGAACGGTGAACGAACGCTGAACGAACGGTGAATGAACGCAGAGCGAACGGTGAGTGAACGATGACTAATTATGTTTTCCTTTACTTTAAGAGTGCAACGATAAACCATTTGTCGGTATACCACGATTTATTTTTCCACGGTTCGGTTCATGATACATGAAACATACCATGGTTCGGTTCAATCGGTCCGTAATTACAGTCCCTGAAACGTTCTACTTTCCCACCTGAACGGTGAACGAACGCTGAACGAACGGTGAATGAACGCAGAGCGAACGGTGAGTGAACGATGTGCGAACGGTGAACGCAACTTGGTGAACGGTGAGTGAACGCAGAACGCGAATGGAGCGCGAACGCGAGCGCAAAGTGAACGGTGAACGAACGGTGAACGCAAGATGAACGATTTATTCAGAATGCCTTTGGTCTTTTCCTTGCATTGAAATTGTTCTTTTATTCTATAATTCAAATGTCATAAATAAATATAAATAAACAATAGATAAATAAAAGAGAAATAAATAGATAAATAAATTAATAAATAATAAAAATAAAATTCTGCACAAAC